CAGGGTATGTTACAGGGGATGGAGACAGTCGGTCTCACTTCCCAGGGGCAGTGTACCATGCAGGGAGAGGAGACAACCGGTCCCTCTCCCCAATGACAGTGGGAGTTACAGGGAGTGGAGTCAACCAGTCTCACTCCCCAGCGACAATGTACCATGAAGGAAGAGGCGACAACCGGTCTCTCTCCCCAGTGGCAGCTGGAGTCAAAGGGAGAGGAAATGATCGGTTCCTCTCTCCAACAGCATCAGGCATCACTGGGAATGGAGATGACCGGTCTCACTCCCCAGAGGTGGCAGGCTTATTGAGAGTGGAGGCAACTGGTCTTGTTCCCCAGCGACAGTATGAGGTCCAGGGTACAGAGGCAACGGGTATCGTTCTTAAGCAGCTGGGTGCAGTCCAGCGGGAGAGCACAGCTGACTCTTCTCCCCGGAGGCCAACCACAGCCACAGCGATTACCTAGAGGCAGAGCTGCACCGGGCTCTCCAAACAACCCCCATCATCCTCAGCCAGCCGGGAAAATTGCAGAGACACAGGTGATGGAGTGGCTGGGAGGGCATGCTTGTTTGGGTGGGGTTTTTTTTTACGGGCTCAGAGACTCCTGTGTACCAGAGCCTGGGCTGGGCGGCCTCCCTGGCTAAGGTGCCTTATGTTTGTCACCCTGTACCTAGGATGGTGCTGGGTGCAAAGCCGGCCAAGTGCTGTTGCGAGCATGGCACTCTCAGACTATGTGTCCACTCCAGACAGCAGCAAGCTGTGGACCAGGGAGACAAGGGGGAGATGTGTGACAGATGGCCTGATTTGTTTGGTGCGGGTCACAAGCTTGTGGCACCATTTTTGTGACTCTTTTCCATGTGTCTAGATATCGCTGTGTTGTGTGCCTGTATTCTACATAGAGCAGTGTGTGTGTCTGTAGAGGCAGCTGTGGGTCAACATTTTTGAAATGTTAAAATGTGTGTGTGTGTGGGGGGGTTGAAACTACTGGTTTTTCTGTACCTGAGAGAGAACTTTATTATCTCACAGGCACAAAGGATCATGGGAGGGAATACCCTGTAATTCTGTGTTAGAAACCCCTTGCAGGGGACTTTTGCATAAAAAGGCTGTGCCTGGCCCTGAATAAAGTGAGTCTACTCCCAGCATTAAGTCTCGGCTAATGTGTGGGGAAACCGCTTTCTAGCACTTTTACTTGCTATATCTGCTATAACCACTGGGAGCTGGATCCAGGGCTTGGGTCCAGGGTGGGAAGAGGCAGGGAGACCACAGCCAAGCTGCGGCACCTAGGGGCTGGAAGTTGCTAATGGTGTCCTGGCAAGGGGTTATTGCACTCGGTGATAACTAGGAAGCGTGATTGGTGGATGTACCGAGTCTGGGTACCAGGCGGCCTGCCACGGACCCAGGCAGCACAATGTCTTGGGCTGTCGCCCATCCCATATGTGTCATGTTAAGGTTTAATCAGGTCAGGGTTGCAAACAGAAATTTTCGAGCCCCTAACAATGCTCCAAGCCCACCCACAGGGCCTGCCTCCAAGTCAGCTCACAAGGATGCAGTGTGTAGTGGATGCAGTGTGATAGATGCTTGGCAGCTGACAAAGCCCAGCATTCATCACCACGTCATTGAGGGAGACCCAAGGTGTCTTCCACAAGCAGGCGGCACACATTAAAACACAGTGGCTAAGTGTGATCAGCCAAGTTATTCTCTATACCAGGGGTTCCCAATTAATTTTTCCTGTGGAACCCTTTGACCTAGTGTATCAACATTGTGGAACCCTGCTCCCACCCAACAAACTTTTTTTTTACTATATATACACACTAATTTCTACAGATAGTAAACATATTGTAGTATTTAGGAGCAGATGTGCTTTTGTGCGTAGAGTTGGTGTTTGTATGTAATTTTTGCATTTTAATACAGGGGTGTGTTTTGTATGTAATGTTTGCATTTGTGTTTAGGGATTTGTTTGGATGTAGTGTTGGCTTTTAAATGCACCTGTGTAGTATTGATGTTTGAGTGAAGGGTGTTTGTATATAATTGTGGGGTTTGAATTCAGGGTTTTTTTTGTATTTAATGTTTGTTTGCAGGGTTGTGTTGGTATGCTGTGTTGGCGTTTGATTGCTGGGATGTATGCAACATACATACTTGCACAGATATACATACACATTAACACAGAGATAAACAATCAAATACACACACTGGTGCGCGCACACACACACACACACACTCTCTCACACACACTCTCACTCTCTCTCACACACACACCGACACACAGTAAAACTCTGATACACACACTGGTACATACACAGATACACTGACATTCAGAAGCACGCTGGTACTGACACACAGATACACACTCAGATACACATAGTGACACACACACACACACATTAGCACACAGATATATACACACACACACACACTGAAAGACACACAGATGCACACAGTGACACATTAATACACACAGTGACACATACACACTGTCAAATACACATACATCATTTTATTTATATATATATATCATCCAGTGGTACCCTGCACACACACTTTAAAGTATTGGAAAATGCCGGGTGCATAAATAAGCCATAGCCAAAAATTACAAAAATTATATAGGAAATAAGGCTTGCACTCACGGTCTGTAGTAATGATAAAATATTTCTTCTTTATTGGAATAATCATTTTTGTATTGAACTGATCCTGATGAAAGCCACGAACGATGGCTGAAACGTCGATGATAGACATGTTTTAAGAATATTCCAATAAAGAAGAAATATTTTATCATTACTACAGACCGTGAGTGCAAGCCTTATTTCCTATATAATTTATATATATATATATATATATATATATATATATATATATACACACACACACACAGTCACCCTCCAGTTAGCATACCTGTTGTCTGCAGGAGGGTGGCTTGCTGGCTGAGGCTGGTGTGTGTGTGGGGGGGAGCTGCTCATTCCTGGCTGGTCACGCTAATAATCTGACCGCATGGGCCACCTGATGGGCAAATCACAGCTGAACCCCAATTTTGTTCACGCGGAACCCTGGAGTTCCGCGGAACACCAATTAGGAAACGCTGCTCTATACATTTAAAGTGCTGTATGCAGTGCTGACTTTAAGCATACAGCTCATCCAAAAGTCTGGCGCCACTGATTGTGTAAAAGAAAAGGTGAGTCTGGTTAGCTGACTGATTTGGTTAGCTCATTTCAGTGCGGCCAGCAGTAGAATTGGCATAGTGCATAACCCTTAAAGGGTTACTCCATCACCATGACCATATCAGTAATTTGAAGTGGTCATGGTGGTAGGAGTCTGGATGTGCAGCAATTCACATTTCACATACAGAAATATTAAGTTTTATGCCTGCTAACAGCACGCTCATGATAGATGTGAGGAGATCCTCCCTTGCAAGAGGAAGCTTTGCTCACCCCTCATCCCTCCATTAAATTATTAGCTGTGGTTTTTTAAAAATATATTTTTTTAAATAAAAATCTCTCCCTCCCCATGCTGGCAAGGGGCATGAACATGTGCTCTGCACCAGTGAAATGGTTCAATCACATGCTTCTCTATGACAAGCATGTGATTGGGCAGCACAAGGGCTGCCGTGATGTTGAATGGAGGATGGAGAGTTTCCTGATGTGGATTACAGGCAAAAAAAACTTTTTTCCCCTCCATTTAAGAAGGTGGGGTCTACATAGATATGCCCAATAGTTATAAAGGATGGAATAACCCTTCCAGAATTTAATTTTGTAACTGAGGATCTGTTTAAATAGATATTAGTTTAAATAGTTTAACAGAAATTGTTAAAAGAAACAATATATTTAGAAAGTTTCCACTTATTATTTACAAAGTAGTTAAAACATTACAATCCATTCTCTAGGTGATTATTTTAATTGTAAATTGTAACGGATTGTGCTAGAGTCTCTCAGCTACGGCTGTTTTGGTTTATGAAGCCACTGAGAGATCTCTTCAAACATATGCAAGAAGGCAAAAAGTTAAATAAATACTTTTGGTTTTTACTAAGGGGCGTACCTAGAGCATTTGCCCCCCCTTTTCAAAGAAATGTAAAAAAAACAACAACAAAAATACATATTTTTTTATATATTGAATGAGTTTGTAAACTTTGTAAAACCCCTGTCAGTTCCTTCTACAAAACCACTGTCCTGCCCCTTTCATACAAACCTCTACACCCCACACACCCAGTTACAGGCAGAAAGTCACACACACAGGTAAAGACACGCAGTCACACGCACACAGTCACAGGCAGACAGTTACACACACAGTCAGTTACAAGCAGTCACACAGTTACAGGCAGACAGTCACATATATAGTCACACATACACATGCACACAGTCACATACACGGTTACAGGCAACATCACATAGTTACATGCAGACAGTCACACACAGTTATAGCCAGACAGTCACATATACAGTCTCTCACACACACATTTACAGGCGGGTAGACAGTCTCTCACACTGAACCCTTTGGAATGATATGGATTTCTACACAAATTGGTCATAAAATGTGATCTGATCATCATCTAAGTCACAATAGACTACCACAGTCTGCTTAAACTAATAACACACAAAGAATGAAATGTTGTCATGTTTTTATTGAACACACCATGTACACATTCACAGTGCAGGTGGAAAAAGTATGTGAACCCCTAGACTAATGACATCTCCAAGAGCTAATTGGAGTGAGATGTCAGCCAACTGGAGTCCAATCAATGAGATGAGATTGGAGGTGTTGGTTACAGCTGCCCTGCCCTATAAAAAACACACACCAGTTCTGGGTTTGCTTTTCACAAGAAGCATTGCCTGATGTGAATGATGCCTCGCACAAAAGAGCTCTCAGAAGACCTACGATTAAGAATTGTTGACTTGCATAGAGCTGGAAAGGGTTATAAAAGTATCTCCAAAAGCCTTGCTGTTTATCAGTCCACGGTAAGACAAATTGTCTATAAATGGAGAAAGTTCAGCACTGCTGCTACTCTCCCTAGGAGTGGCCGTCCTGTAAAGATGACTGCAAGAGCACAGCGCAGACTGCTCAGTGAGGTGAAGAAGAATCCTAGAGTGTCAGCTAAAGACTTACAAAAGTCACTGGCAAATGCTAACATCCCTGTTAGCGAATCTACAATACGTAAAACACTAAACAAGAATGGATTCCATGGGAGGATACCACAGAGGAAGCCACTGCTGTCCAAACAAAACATTGCTACACGTTTACAGTTTGCACAAGAGCACCTGGATTTTCCACAGCAGCACTGGCAAAAAATTCTGTGGACAGATGAAACCAAAGTTGAGTTGTTTGGAAGAAACACAGAACACTATGTGTGGCGAAAAAAAGGCACAGCACACCAACATCAAAACCTCATCCCAACTGTGAAGTATGGTGGTGGGGGCATCATAGTTTGGGGCTGCTTTGCTGCGTCAGGGCCTGGACGGATTGCTATCATCGAAGGAAAAATGAATTCCCAAGTTTATCAAGATATTTTGCAGGAGAACTTAAGGCCATCTGTCTACCAGCTGAAGCTCAACAGAAGATGGGTGTTGCAACAGGACAATGACCCAAAGCATAGAAGTAAATCAACAAAAGAATGGCTTAAACAGAAGAAAATACGCCTTCTGAAGTGGCCCAGTCAGAGTCCTGACCTCAACCCGATTGAGATGCTGTGGCATGACCTCAAGAAAGCGATTCACACCAGAGATCCCAAGAATATTGCTGAACTGAAACAGTTCTGTAAAGAGGAATGGTCAAGAATTACTCCTGACAGTTGTGCACGTCTGATCTGCAACTACAGGAAACGTTTGGTTGAAGTTATTGCTGCCAAAGGAGGTTCAACCGGTTATTAAATCCAAGGGTTCACATACTTTTTCCACCTGCACTGTGAATGTTTACATGGTGTGTTCAATAAAAACATGGCAACATTTCATTCTTTATGTGTTATTAGTTTAAGCAGACTGTGATTGTCTATTGTTATGACTTAGATGATGATCAGATCACATTTTATGACTAATTTGTGCAGAAATCCATATCATTCCAAAGGGTTCACGTACTTTTTCTTGCAACTGTATACGGACAGGTAGATGGACTTTCGTAAAGGATAAGGTTATATCTCGGCTGTTTGCTGCACAAGCAGCGTTGACATACTGAATACCAAAAACAAGGGAAAAAAGTAATCATCTGTGAATAAATCAGCTTGCATTAGCAATAGAGCTGTACCGCCCAACGTCTGTTTTGGTGACCTTCAAGGAACACTAAGGTCACCAGAACAACTACAGCTTATTGTATTTGTTCTGATGAGTAGAATCATTCCCTTCAGGCTTTTTGCAGTAAACACTGTCTTTTCAGAGAAAATGCAGTGTTTACATTACAGCCTAGTGATAACCCCACTGACCATTTCTGAGACGGCTGCTAGAGGTCCTTCCTGGGGCAGTGCTGCACACTGTGCAGCACTGCCATTCAGTGTCTCCACCCTCTGCATGCAGATACTGAATGTTCCTCATAGAGATGCATTGATTCAATTCATGTCTGAGGAGATGCTGAATGGCCAGGGCTGTGTTTGGCTTGTGCTGGCTTTGCCCCTGATCTGCCTACTTGATAGTCTCAGCCAATCCTATGGGGAAGCATTGTGATTGTCTCAGACCACCACTTATGTCGTCAGGGGCTGAGGCAGCAGCTGCAGACTTAAATACAAGTAGGATTTTACTATATTTAGGGATCAAAGGGGAGGGCAAAGGGGGCCAGATGGTTTTAACAATATAGGGTCAGGAATAAGTGTGTGTTTGTTTTTAACTACTTTGTTTCTTTCAGTGTATCTGTTCTCTTTATAACCATTTACACTAGATTCTCTCGGTCTGTATATACAGATCCTCAGTTACTAATTAAGGCCCCAGCTGACAGATAGGAGCTCAATTTATTGTTTGATACCTGGATCTCCCTGGTGTGAGAGAGGATTTAACCCTGCTCACACTATGTAACCATCTATATGGATAGAAATCTAAACTTAAAGTGCTGCATACAGTTCACCCGTCTGTCTGGGGTCACAAAAAATGGGGACTAATCCTGCTCACACTGCATTGTAGAATTGCCAAGAGCTGAGGATGTTTGATGCAATGAATGGTGATTATACCTTCAGCTCTAACACTGGCCAACACAAGTGAGCATTCCACCTCGTTGTAAAATAGGGAAACCCCCTGGAACGTGACAATGGATGCCAACCCAGTCCTTTTCACTGATTATTCTATCCTCTCTCTCAACAATGCATAGTCCACTTCCCACTTCATTTATAATAAAAAGAAAAAGCATTGCCTTGTCTCTAAGATGGAAACAGACTTCAGATTGACTTAATTTCTCTATAACTCTACATGCACCACTTTCTCAAAGATTTAATTTTTATCTGGTTGCCATTACGACAACCACAAGCCCACCCACTCTCTATTATATATATATGATATCATCTATTTGCCTATTAACCTTCTAACTCTTTTAAATTGTTTGCAACAGAAACAGCATTTTCTGACGTCTTAAAACCATCAACTGTCTCAATTCACATTTTCTTCTTCAGATTGTAAACATAGAATGTGACGGCAGATAAGAACCATTCGGCCCATCTAGTCTGCCCAATTTTCTAAATACTTTCATTAGTCCCTAGTCTTATCTTATAGTTAGGATAGCTTATGCCTATCCCATGCATGCTTAAACTCCTTTACTGTGTTAACCTCTACCATTTCAGCTGGAAGGCTATTCCATGCATCCACTACCCACTAAACCCGTGGGCAATCCTCTTGTTTAGCATTTTGTATAAATTGCTTCTTATGCAAGTGTATTTAATAAATATTTTACATTTTTTATATGTGAAATCTTAAAGCTCTCTGAATAATACCAAGATTTACAATCATGAGTCAGAGGAGCACCTGCTCAGTTAACTCTTGAACAAAAAAAACCGTTGCTTCAGAGAAAAAAAAAAAAAGTTCAGATCAATTTCTATATGCTGTTTTCTTTGTTTTTAGTGCCACCATGTGGCTGTACATGTAGTTTGCACAAGACCAACCTTTTTTAACATCATTCTTAAAGTTCCTTTATCAAGTAGACTGGTTATTGGGCAAACCAAGGAACTGCCTTGTGGGCCATGATGACCATGGTCTGATGGCCAAATAAGAGGACTAATAATAATCAGAGGACTGTCTAGTCTAATCAAGGTGCACAAGCACTCTGTACATCAATCAAATTCCTGAGAGTGAAGGGACCTTTGAGCAGCTCAGATTGTGGACTGAAGTGACTCTTGACCGGGATCCTGTACGTACCACTTAGCGGATTGGTCTCGTTGTCTTGTACTAGAGCTATCTACTGGCTCAGGGTTGGCATTTCTTATGCCTATAATGATTTCTCACACTTAAGTCCCTTTTCCTATTAGGAGTATCAGGACTGATTTAGGGTAAAATTCAATACTTTATTGGATAATCTGTTTGTAAGTGGTTATGTCGAATATTTGTTCCATGTACATTATTTTGTTTAGTGCCAAAGTGTTTTCTTCAGGGTCCTAGTACTCATTCACAGCACAAGCGCATCTAATGATACAAAAAGATTTGTATCGTAATATGAGAAACAAAAAAACACTTGCCATTTTTAAATGACATATTGTGTACCAATAGTCGGCGTGTGTGTTCATGTACAGTACGGGTAGGGTAGCAGTATCTCGTCTCGCTCCAGTAGATTGTTGTGTTCAGTCTGGGGAGACTGGGCCATGCACAGATCCAGCATAAAAAAAGAGCATACCATTGTATGTATACATTCTCAAAGCAAAGTATTGATTGGTAGAAAAATGTAAAGCACTATCGAATGTTAGGAATTCAAACGTGTTCTTAAGGTGTTCTGAAAGTTGCCAAATACATTCTTAAATAATTACAGAGAGCTAGAAAATACTAAGAATGGACAACTCAAATATTGTGCCCTTTGGTGGCTACCTGTTTAGTTCGCAAGCTAGTTTTAGCTCAATTTGTGCTGTTGCAGAGAGAAACAACTGGCATATCAGATCGATACCACCAAAATAATTGTCTGGAATTGCTTTCTTGGGGGATAGTGGCACAAGTTGAGCTAAAACAAGCTTGAGAAGGGCAGGAAATTTCACCTGTCCATTCTAAGTAAGCTCTTAAGGCTAGTTATTAGATACAGGATCTTTTACACATTTTATTTGCACAAAATTCTCAATGTTCTGGAAAATGTCCCAAAATATACTTCTCTGAAGAGGCTACAAATTTCAAAGTACTGCTTCTTCATCACACAGGAGGCTAGTGCTTTACACGAGCAGGCAATTAACAATGCAGAACATACAAACTTGTATATCAAAACATATTGTACAAAAAAAGGAAATCTAAAAAAAAAAAAATCTTTTTAGGAAGTGTGGCTACGGCTGCAAAAAAACCCCCAAGTGGTTTAACTACCGAATGGCAGAAATCAAGCAGTGAGACTGCAGGGGCATCTATCTATGCCTCGGAACCACTTCATTAAAGGACCACTATAGTGTCAGGAAAACAAACTTGTTTTCCTGGCACTATATAGTCCTCAGGGCCCCCCTTCAGCCACTTACCTTTATCCAGCGCCGGGCTCCCTCGGCACTGATGACCTCTCCTCCCCCTCTGACGTCAGCTCCCGAGTGAAGCCGCATGCGCAGCCAGGCCCGCATTCAAACTGCCCATAAGAAAGCATTACTCAATGCTTTCCTATGGACGTTCTATGTCCTTTCACATTGAGCGTCGCAGAAATGCCTTTTGACAGCCACTAGAGGCTGGATTAACGCTGCAATGTAAACATAGCAGTTTCTCTGAAACTGCTATGTCTACAGCTGCAGGGTTAAAACTTGGGGGACTTGTCACCCAGACCACTTCATTGAGCTGAAGTGGTCCTTTAACTCATTCTACAATAGTGCGTTTATTTACAATCAACAAGTCTTTCAAAAACAATTAGGTTTATTCACATTTTTATTTTCCATTTTGTGGCATTGAAGTAGAAAATGTTTACATACATTTTCATTACATACATTTTGTTGGTATTGTTGCTAGAAGAAAAGGACTGGCAAATTATAAGTATGAGTTGCAGATTCGATTCCACCACTTCCCATAGTGTATAAGATCTTCATGTCTATCAAGCAACCCTTTCACTAAACACGAATGTATGAGACTCGTTAATGTACTCGCAGCTCATAAGATCAGTTTGCATACATTAGTAATTGTTTCCCTTG